GAGGTCCAAGTCGAGTTAAATGAGAGAGGAAGGTAGGCACATGGGGGGGGGTACCATATATATATATATATATCCACATCTTCATCCACACTTGTACTTTGTACCTGTATCTACGTTGAACATACCGTTTTCTTTATTTCTTGCTCTGTCTGTATATCTAAGCCCATAGCCTGTAGCTAGTTAGATACAGCTGTTTCTGGGTTGACCTATCGTATTTGCCTATCTATTTATCTGTCTGTCTGTCTGTTTGTAAGTTTGTAAATCAAACAATCAATCAATCAATCTATCTGTCCATCCATCCATCTATCCATCTATCTATGCATCTATCCATGCATCTATCCACCTATCCTTCCATCCATCTATCCATCCATCCATCTATCTATCTTTCTATCCAGCAGTAACTATCTATCTATATATCTTTCTCTTTACCTATCTATCTATCTATCTATCTATCTATCTACCTGTCCATCTATCTATCTATCTATCTATCCATCTATCTATCTGTCTATCTACCATCTATCTAGCCATCTACCTATCTGTCTGCTTACCTATCTACCTATATCTGTCTATCTACCGATCCAGCCTTTGATTATCTGCCTATCACTGTCTGCTTGTCAATATCAAACTATCACGATCTATCTCTCATTATCTTGCGATCACTGTCTACTTATCAGGATCTGTAAATCATATCTTTAAAGCATTATCTATCCCTCATTGTCGATATCTCGTCTTCTACCTCATTATATTGACTCTCACACTTGCTATCTCTCGTTCTCTCTCTTTCTCTGTTTCTCTTTCTCTGTTTCTCTATCTCTGTCTCTGTCTCTGTCTCTGTCTCTGTCTCTGTCTCTGTCTCTGTCTCTGTCTCTGTCTCTGTCTCTGTCTCTGTCTCTGTCTCTGTCTCTGTCTCTCTCTTGAGCTCTCTAGCAAGCTATCTACCCAGCTCCTTCCGTCGTTCCCTCTCTTTTCCGCTTTCACTCTCGGTCGCACTGTGTCGGGCATCCACCTCGATCCAGGACTGCAATCTCCTTCAGCCTTGATCACCCCCGTTTGTCTTCTACTCGTCTCGTGGCGGTAGCAGCATGCTGCGGTCCCTCAGACCCGATAGTTGCCCCTACCCACAGGTTGGAGATGTACGAGAAGCTCAACAGCCTTCCCACAAGAAGTGCGGTGGGATTCTGAGCGCGATCTTGACGGCTTGCGGCAGATGCATGATTCCGGGCAACCTGCGAGACTGACAGGGATTCTCTCACTTCGGCCCGTCGTGCGCGCTTGGACATTGGGGTCACTGCCTTTGGAACTGCTTTGTGGAGGTCTGAGCCCTCGGTGGCCTTTGCCTCCCTCTTCAGGCCGCGGCTTTTGAGAGAGGAGGGCTTTCGGTGTGGTATAGAGGCCCCGAGTCTAGGTCGAAGGCCGTTTCAGAACCATGCTCGGTTGGCTGCCGCTGCATTTTAGAATGACAGGTGATGGGTACCATGCCGTCTCACCCGAAACGACAGAATTGGAACGGATGGCACTTGTCTTGCGAGCAAGCCAGGGCAGAAAAAACATTCCAGGCCTATTCAGGCTAGCAGTCGCATCAGCCGTGCTTGCTGTCGTGAGACCTCCATCTATCGAGCGTTGGATGGGGAGTCCTCCCTCTCTGCGCGAAGGAGCGTGCCATGTTTCACTTTGCTTGTGGCTTCTCCAGCTGTACAGCCAATGTGAGGCACGACAAGTTGGACCGCTGGAAAAGCACTCGTTGAGCTAGTTAATTTCGTGCAGTGCAAGTGGATCGTGAAAGCATCGGGTAGCACATCTGTCTCCACGGCATCAGACACTGTAGAATCAGACTGCAGAAGCTTTTGATGTGGTCATCAGGGATGACAAGACTCGGGGCGCGATGGCAGGTTGGCCTGCCACGACATGTAAAATGACTCCAGTAGCCAGCACATCTGCAGCCATTTCCCACTCGGAGAAACTGGTTCCCCGCCTTCATTGAAGATTGCCTTGCTGAGGCCCCAGTGCAGCTGGAAAAGAGCCCACAAAAAGAACTTGAACCCTACCTGTCAAGCCCATAAGCCCTAGACCGCGTCTATTGAAGCTCCGAGGCCAACCATGGCCGAGCCCAGCACCGCCGCCAAGCTCACTGCCGAGTTCGTGGGGACCTTCCTCCTGATCTTTACGGTCCGCATCTGAGGGGAGTATGGGAGACGATCTCACAGTAGTTTGGCATGGGCGCCTATGGGGGACAAGAAACGGCTGAGGGTGTATGTGTGAAGGGGGAACGGGAACGGCAAAAGGTTGTCGGCTTTGAGCACCCGCAGCGTCAATCCCCACACACACGCACCAGTGGTCCTGGTCAAGGATTGGCATTCGGCGGGAAGTGGGCGGTTTCGTGTGAGTGTCTGATTATCGCAGTGTTTGGGATTCGTTGTGGCAGTTTGGATGTGGGCTTCTGCAGAGGTAGCGGCATTGCCGTCGGTTTCGGAAACGGTCTGTTTCGTGGGCTCCTGTATCGGAGCTGCTTCAGTTTAGGATAACGAATATATGTTCATGCAAGTGTGTGCACACACATGGCACATGATCCTGCGCCACAAGCTTTCTCAACGACATGTAATAGGCAGCTCTCTCTCTTTGGGCGGATATCTGTTGAATCCTAATCGAGATTGGGCTGGGTTGCTGGAGGGTTTCGCACCTTGCGAGATGCGGCAACAGACTTTGCAAGGTGGGCTGCAACGTTCTGGGTGGCTCCGCCACTTGGGCCGGGGTGTCCATTGCCTTCGCGCTGATGGTCGCCATCTATGCCCTTGGTGGTATCTCCGGGGCCAACTTCAACCCTGCCGTGTCTGTGCAACTCGGCCTCAAGAGCGGACCTTTCTCAGAAGGGTTGTCACCTTTCATGGAGCCGAGGACTTTGGGAATCTCCAAGGCCATGGGAGGACCAGGTCTGGACTGGAAGACCGTGGGCCTCTATGCCGGAGTTCAGTCTGCCGCGGGCATTGCCGCCGCCATCTGCTACACGCTTCTGCTGCTTGGACCCAGATTCCTCCTCCTCCTCCTCCTCCAAACCCCCCCCCCCCCCCCCCCGCTTTCTCTGTCTCTCAAGCCGAGGTTCGGCAAGAGTTTCAACCTCGCCCCGGCCAAGGGTTTCTCTTGGTACCATGCCGGACTCTGCGAGAGCCTCGGGAGACAGAGAAGAAGAAGCACAATGGGAACGCGAACAGTAGAAGAAGAGAGTAGAGCCACAATGACAGCATTGATGTTGCATAGTCCAGCAGCAGAATCTGAGCTCAAAGACAGGCTTCACCCCTTTTGCGTTGTGGTTCAAGCCGCCCCCAAGGTGAGATGCTGTACACCTTCATGCTGACATTTGTGGTCATGAACGTGGCGGCTGCCAAGAAGAATGTCTCGGAGAAGAACCAGTACTATGGCATGGCCATAGCCTTCACTGTGCTGGCTGGTGCTTACGGTGCTGGCGCAGTGTCCGGAGGCTGCTTCAACCCGGCTGTCGCTTTGGGCATTGATGTGTCCAGCGCCGGCGTCGGCTTCGGCTGGTGCGTTCCCTACATCCTCTTCGAGCTGCTGGGATCTGCGATGGCGGCAGCTCTCTTCAAGGTTGTTCGGCCTGAGGACTTTGGGGGCGAGAAGAGCCAGGCGACTGAGCTGGTCAGCGAGTTCCTGGGCACCTACATGCTGGTTTTGACGGTGGGCTTGAATGTTTTGGGTAGCTCCAAGGCTGCTGCCTTCTCCATCGCAGCCAGCTTGACCTCCATGATCTACGCTTTGGGAGACGTCTCTGGTGCTCACTTCAACCCGGCGGTCACGATGGCCATCTTTGCCTCTGGCCGCTGCCCTGAGCTCACCCCTGCCAAGGCCGGTACATATGCAGGCGTTCAGATCGCCGGAGGCATCGCGGCGGCCCTGACGTACGCCTTCATCTATCAGGGAAGGACCTTCGGCCTGGGCCCAGTGGGCACAAGCACATGGGCCGCCGTCTCCGTGGCGGAGATCGTCTTCACCTTCGTCCTCGCCTATGTGGTGCTCTCTGTTGCGGTGTCTGAGCGCACCAAGGCAGGGGTCCGGGATGCTTGGGTACTTAGGGTACGGTGTACTTGTCGCTCGCTCTGTGCGTTTTGTGTTCCTGTCCTGCGGCCCTCATTCCACGCCCCTCCGCCGCCAGGCCTCGCACCTTTTCGGTCTGGTCATTGGCTCCTTGGAGACTGTTTTGAGTCAACTTAAACTTAAGCACTCCGCCTCTCCTTCAAGCCTGGCTCCGTTGTGCCAATGATAATACTGCGATCGGAGGAGGAGACAACAGGTCTCTGTGGTTGGAAACATGGATTTTTGGCGGGAAAAACAGGAATGATTTAGGAATCGGGAAATAGGAGCTTAGGGAAATACGGCAACACTCATTGTTGTTTTTTTTTCTCGATTTGTGCATCGAGACCTACGGTTTCGCACTGAAATCCTCTGTTAATCCATTTTCTTCTGCTTGTTCCTTATTTGCCTCATTTTAAGGAAAAACGGTTGACAAATAGGAAAATAAACGGAAAACATAGGGTTGTGTCGAACATGAAGCATTTTGGCATCGAGACCTAGGTTTTCGCCCAAAACCCATATTAATCATATTTTCAAGTTTTCTTATTTTAAGGAATAGAAAATTGAAAAATAGGATTGTGTCGACAATGAATTATTTTCGATGTTTGTTTTTCAATATTTGCATCAAAATCTAGGATTGCACACCCGAAATCCTATGTTAATAATTTATTCACCTATCTTTGGGTGCTTTTCAATTTTAGCATCGAAACCTAAGATTTCCAACCGCTTTCCTATCTTAGTTCTATGTCCGAAAGTCATGAATCCCTAGACCTAGATTTGTCCTATGTTTTCCTGAACATGATTATTCAATGATTTGTGACTCTAGCCCCGTACTGCGAGTTTTAAGTGTAGCACACATGCGCATATCACATATGTCAATGATTGAATCGATCTATCTATCCGCCCACCTATCTATCTACCTATCTACCCATCTATCTACCGAATCTATCTAGCCTGATCTAGTCTAATCGAACCGAATCTAATCTAGTCTAGTCTACTCTGTTCCATAGTCTCTAGGCTCCAGTCTCTAGTCTCGAGTCTCCAGTCTTCAGCAGTCTCCAGTGCCTCATCTCATCTAAGCTATCCATGCATAGCACCCAGTCACCCAGCCAGTCGCCCAGAGACCCACCGACTCACCGACATACATATCATGCATACATACATACTCACACAGAGATGCATGTATATATTTTTCACACACTTTTGCATACGTATCAGTGTATATATATACACACACGCACCGACAGATGGTGAGTGCTCATCTGCCCCAAAGCCTTGTCCGCCTGAGGCTCCTGCGTGACGGTGGGCGGCTTCGCCATCGGTGGCATCTCCGGTGGCTCCCTGAACCCGGCCGTGTCGTGCCTGGGACTTCGACCATCTCTCAAGGGCCTTTGGTTTACGGATCTCGGGCTGAACCCGGCGATGTCGGCCCCACGGACTGTGCGAACCCGGCAGTTCCAGACAGCAAGACCTGAAGCTGTGGGGGCAGAACGAATCCTGCCCTGGTTATTTGGCCGAGTGACTTCTGAAGCACCCTGATTGAAGGTTCGGCATTGCTGCGGCCAACGTCCTCAATGGAGGTCTTTTCTTCAAGGCGCATTCAAAATCCGGGTTGGAAGTCAAGGGTTCGGAAGCCTTAAGATTTAGCTTTGACATGGCTCGGCATTTGAATTGGTACTCCTCGAGCTTCAGGGAGTAGCTGTGAAGCTTGTGTGTGAAGGTGTGGGCTGCTTTCAATTCCGCGGGCTTGTTTTCCACGTGCTTTGCAGTATTTTGTCTTGAAAAGTCAGCCCGCACCGATTCGATCATCTTGCTGTGCCCGATCAGGCCCTCATCTACACCGTGCTGGAACTTGTCGGAGGAGTTGCCGCTGCCGGCATCTTCAAGTTCACCCATGAGGCCCAGGATGCGGAGGTCGAGCGTACTACTTTAGGTGACTCTGGATGTCCGTCGAGCAGGTGCTTCGCACCTCAAGGCAACAAGTCAGGTCTGCAAGTTTGGCTCGAGCACAGGCCCCGTC